CTCGCTCGAGGAGTTACTTAGTCCTGAATGTGACATGGCGGAGAACGCTCATAAGCTGATACTGCAGCTAAAGCTACAAACAGGAGCTATACTCTATTTCACCTTATGATGTACCGCAGGGAAGGCTACAAGAGCGAGCTCCTTGCTCTAGGGCACGTCTCGGCGGTACAAGCTCTCGTACACCAAGGGCTGCTGCCAACGCTATGAGCTCGCGCTTCTAGCCTTCGTTGCGGTACAGCATAAGGTGAAACGGAGTATGCCCGCGCTTCTGGCTTTGAGACAAGCATTTCTAGCGCGACCGCTCGTTCCGCCGAAGAACGCTTCAAAGCAGCGACCTCGAGCTCTAATGGTTGTGGCTACAGTTGTGGCACTGGCTGCAGTCTCAGCTTTACAGTGCTTCTGCAACGTGCCTTCCACACCATGACGATCGCCGTTCTTTGCAGACGCTATTTGGGATCTTGATCTGAAGATGCGGAGACCTGCACCCCGCCAGATCAAACATCCTCCTCCTCCTCCTCCTCCCCCCCCCCCCCCGAATGCGCTGTGAATAGTATGCTGAAATATGCCACCCAATGAAAAAATGAGACGCGGTGCGAAATGCGACAGTTTGTGTCTAGCGCCATTCACCTCCTAGACAAGCAACCGGAGTACGTTAAAACTTCACATACAGTTGCCGTAACCTGTACACTTTTCATGAGTAAAACTTAAGAGCTGTCGGCAAAAGTTTTCCGGAGAATATAAATGCGGGGTTGAGATTGACGTGTTTGACCCCCTTTCCAAAAAAGACGGAAAATTCAGCGCGAGGTTTCGCTGCGAGGCGTGCACCCCGTTTGGCACCCACTATTCTACCAAGGTAAGCTTTAATTTTATTGATATGCTTTGTTAGCTCCATGCAGACCAAATTTGAGTGATTTGTAGTTGCTTTTTTTAATTAAATAATTATTTACGTAACTGGATACGCGCGGGGCAAAGCGCAACAATCCGACATTCTATCACGCGCATGTCAATAACGCACTAGTCTCCTGGTTGCTCCTGGGCCATATTTTACTGCGAAAGCCTTAACTGTCTCATGGAGCAAGCTGACGTCATCAGTTGAAGCGCAAAACGGCACATGGTTTCCCGTTTCCTTCGGTTCCATTGGCTGGCGCGCGTCGACGGGGCTCCCATTGGCCGCTGCGCTCGTCAGTTTCCACGACCGCTCACCCCATGGCGCTGCGTGTCCATCAGCGCGCCGTTAACACGGAGCCTCCAAGGTCACCAGGGGAGCACACGCGCTGACCGGCGACGAAAAGTACGCAGCAGACGAACAAGGGAGCGGACGAGCGGCTTGCATGCTTTCGCATTTTCTCCCAGTGTCTAGGATTGTCCAAAGGTACAAAAAAAAATCACTCAGGGATTCATAGCGCAAAACCGACATGAACGAAGCTCTTCAAAGTGTCAAGCAACAGCGACATTCTTTTCGCATTGCTGCCACACTTTTTGACACGAAAGGATGCACTTTAAAGGCGAGCCAAACGACTCGGCAAATGTAAAAAGCAAAAGCTAAAAAGAAAAAAAAAAAAAAAAAACGGCTGCGACACAGAAGGCGCGTTTTTTCCGGCGTTTCAAGTTTCGAGAACATTTCTTCTGTACCTAAAGTAGGGCAGAAAAAGAGAACAAGCAGGCTGGAGAGCAGCGCTGTTTTAACGTCATGTCCCCACAAGGCAAAGCCGATGTTGACGAAAGCAAACAAAAACCGGCGTTCCACTGCCCTCTTCCCCCCCCCCCCCCCCCGGGCCCCCCCTCCCCCCCCCCCCCCCACACACACACACACACAAAAAAAAGATCGTGATTTCGAAGAGAAAGATTTTCAGTGATCCCCCGAAGATGCGCACAGTGTCCCAGCGTTCTGCAGAGCGTGCGATGCAGACCACAAGAGACTGGCAGTGCCTGGTATGCAAGGGACTTTGGAGCCAAGCAGCTCCGCATTTTGTATAAATCGAGAACATAGAATGCAAGGAATGGGTTCATGAAGAGTGCGTCGGAGCTCACAGAGTGCGTTTGGAGTGTTTTCATTATTACGAAAAGTGAACACATATCGCGTTTTTTTTAAGAGTGTCTCATGGTAGCCTACCGCGTCGTCTCATTTAGCCCCACAGGGCGGGGCAAAATGAGACATTGTGTGATTTTCAGATATTGTAGTTTTGCTGAATATTTCGTTTGCTTCAGTTAAGTAATATTTCCTGGGCATAAAGCCAAGACATCTAAGAACATATAAAACGAAAATAAAAATTACAATTGAAAAAGAAATTGTCTCATTTTTCCCCACCTTAGCGATGTGCGCGACCAAAAGCGTCGCTGCGGTCAGCTTTCCATGATTGGCCAAACCATGGGCATATGAGCATTGTCAGATTGTCAACTTTGACGGTGTTAGTTTCGGTTGCGATGGTTCCTAGTAGGGTGCCCTAGTTCCTAGCTTCCACTGTGCTTCTTAAACACACCACTGAAGTCGTCGTTGCACCTGGTGGTAAGTAGCCAGGATAACCACTGGTGACGTCACGGCGTGGTAAATCCCAGTCGTGACGTCGAGGATAGAAACCATAAGAGGGTGCCACTGAAACATCTCGGCGCTAATACATAATTTGAAGGTGTCGCCATTGCTAGGTACTGATGGTTATTTTTACTTACTGGTTTCCTCGACCTTCTACTTTTGCGATGTGAAACTAACACGGTGAATCAGACGCTCGTGGCACATATAAAATACCGGCATGGTCGCGAATGACGTTGGGGCAATGTTGGTGTGTGTCATTACGGGCAGGCGTACAGTCCTCGGATAGCACAACTAGGCGAGATTGTCACGCGTTGACGCCACCAAGCGGCAAGGGTCGCCACTACAGGTCCCTTGGCCGTGCATGAACTATTGACGTCACGAGAGCGATACGCACTGCGCTTCGCGATGGCCGACTTTAAAGCGAGCAGTAGAGAGCTCGAGCTCACGTCACTCCGATTCCGCGCCAGCGCTCATTTTTTAGCTTTAATGTGTTGCATGTTGCAACATAACCTCAAAGATACCAGTCTTTCGTTGAAAGGCCCAAGAAAACTAATTTTATGACACAGCAAGCTGCATCGGAGCAGCGCCGCTTTTTGGAATTCAACATTTTCCTTCATAGCTTTCCTCAACTCCCAAATCGCGCATTGTACCAAACCCTCGTTTGTGTACCCAGACACAGCCATTCTCCATCTAGAAGATTAGCCCGTCGCTCACAATTTGGACAGAAGTTGCTTTCCCCACCCCGTTCACCACTAAGCTGAAAGTGCCGTGGAAGTTACGTGCTCCTTGGGCCAGCCACACGCTCGTCACCCCACGGGTACTTCGAACGGCATGGCTGTAACGCGTTGACGTCATTGACACCACCACAACGCTGACAACGCCACCAACGGCAAAGCTCATAACCACGCCAGCCTTGCTACGTCACGAATGTGGAGAATCTTTTTTTTTCTGTTTTTGTTTGCGCCGTATAGACGCTTTGCAGCAGCTGTGCATGGGCGCCGCCATAACTGACCTTCAGTTTTTGTTTCCACTTATTACGTTTACTTCACTTCATTATTACCATAGCAGGCCAGGCTATTGCCATCTTAGATTTTATTCTGTCTTTCTCCACAGCATTGTGTTTTGTGGTGGCTCGTCCACACCAATTTCAGTGGCTCGGTATCTCGGTAAAGCAAGAGAAGGTCAGCAATGGCGGCTGTATTCTGGCGCGTGTGTAAAGCGTCTATATTCCATGACGCATCGCACTCTTCGAGCGCTTGCTCGGGTGCACCGTTTGGAACGAAAAATATAGCCAGTCGTTCAAAATACAAACGGGCGAATATCAATTACGGTTATTATCCGGCGTGCTTGATTCATTTCCGAACAAAATTTGAATATTTCAATTTTCGTTTCCGTACCCCTTCAGCGCTATTGCGTTAAAATGCCGCTCTAGCAGAATCAACATCAACCGATATAGACGCTTTACACACGCGCCAGATTGCAGCCGCCATTGCTGACCTTGTTTTGTCTTATGGAGAAAGCGAGCCACTGAAACGGGCGTTGACGAGCCTCCTGAAAGGCCCATGCTGGGTAGAAGGACGCAAGAGAATTTAGGATGGCAATAGCCTGGCCTGCTATGGTAATGATGAAGTTAAGAAAATCCAATAAGAGGAAAGAAAAACTGAAGGTCAGTTATGGCGGCGCCCATGCACAGCTGCTGCAAAGCGTCTTCGCTCTCTCACGCGCTGCAGAGCAACAAAGAAAAATTAGCATTTGGAACGAAACGGTCAGATGCCATCACCCTAAGCAAAGCGCGCAGGTGAAGGCACACTATAAAAGACAAGGCCGGCTCATGACGTCATCGTTTTTTTATTTATTTAATTCAAGTATCCTCAAGGTAATAATACAATGAAGAGGGGAGTGGACATCAAAATAATAATTACAATGTGATCATGTTAGAACTCTCTTAAACAGAACAATATCAGTAATATTGTCTATTGAGGCGGGAAGGTGGTTCCAATCCAACGATGTTTGGGGAATAAAAGAATATTGAAACAACGAAGTTTTAAAATTTGGCATACCGACTTTATGACTATGATCAATGCAAGCAGAGAGATAGAATGGTGGGATAATTAGTCTACGACGAAGGTCAGCATTTTGATGAAATATTTAATGGAAAAGACGCAAGCGAAAGATTTTACGGCGATGCGTTAGTGATGGCAGACCTAAAGAGGTTTTCATGCTAGAAACGCTGGCAGTGCGGTGATAGTTCGACATGATAAGTGCGGTGATAGTTCGACATGATTAGTGCATCCCCGACCCGCACTAAGTCGTCGCAAAGCGGAGACCCGTTCATCTTGGCGCCAACATGTTTTAGCGTCGACCGATCGTCGTGAGACGCTGCAAGACGCGCTGCGCGTTCATACTTATGACGCTACTTTGAGAGGGCAGGTGTAGGGTGGCCCTGTTTCCCAGTTGCAGGGGCACTCACCCTGACGTGCTCCAGGGCGTCCAGGGCCAGGTGCTGTCCCCCGGGCGCGTACACGACGATGGCCGAGAGCAGCTCGAGCACTTGCTTGCGCACCACCCGGTTCGGACTGGAGAGCGCTGCGCAGAGAGACGCACACCGTGCTCGCGGAAGCGCATTCCTATCGTGCACCATTCATCGTCCAAGTTAAAGTAAACTACACCCTAAAAAAAGGGTATCACTTTACACCCTTTTGTCCCATATAATGCACCCCAAAACTTTAGTTCGACAATGCAGCGCACTGTAGTCGAACAGACAGTCCAAATTTTACGAGGGGCTTGATAACGGTGCGATATAACTTATTAAATAGCTAAAGTACGTGTCAAAGACCACAGAAAGAAAGCACCGAGGTTTTGCAGTAACGCCAAAAAAAAAACGATTATTATTTTTTTTTTGTAGTCAGTAACACGTACATTAGATATTTTAATAAGTTGTACCTATCGGCTATCAATCCTCTCGTGAAAGTTAGTACCGTCCACGGTGGAAGATAAAACTCTTCAGGTGGGCAGGACAGCAGCAGCTCGTTCACCATGCTTAAACGAGTCTTCTTCTTTGTCCAGGTATGTGGAAGAAGGAATGATCATTGTTACCGAACCGATAATCGTTTTTTACTGCTGGTGTCTTGCCCACACCAATATGTGCATTTTTTTGAGTGTGTCAGAAACACTGTTCAGTCTTTGCTATGTTGTGGCGACGTTGAGGCCAATCCGGGTCCCATGAGCGATGTTCAGGCTAAGCAGTTTAGCCAAATGTATGATCTTTTACAGAGCTTGAATGCTCGCTCACTTCAGTTTGAACAGGGACAGGCAAGGCTGCTTACCAGTGTAAATGAAATAAAGGAAAACCAGAAACTTATGCAAGAAGAGGTGGCTGACATTAACAAAAGGTTGCATGTCGTTGAGACTAAAACAATCCTTCTTGAAACAAAACAGCAAGAATACGGTGTCGCCGGTCAAGCAGCTGATAGCTTACGGAGCGAAAACATCGCTCTGCGGGAGCGTCTTGATGATATGGAGGACCGGTCTCGTCGAAACAACGTTATCTTTTACGGTATTCCTGATCTTGCTTCAGAAACGTGGAGTGACGCTGAACAAGAGATAACAAGCCTGCTCTCCGAATGCTCCTTGCCTTCTATAAGCGGAACATTTGGTATAGAGCGCTCACATAGGCTAGGGGCATTTGCTGCGAACAAATGTCGCCCCATCATCGTACAGTTTTCTTCTTTCAAAACAAGGGATCTTATCTTATCTTGCAAAATGCAACTAAAAACGGTAGGCGTGACTGTCAGTGAAGATTTTTCTTTTGCTACTCGCCTGGCTAGGAGAAAACTAATAGAATTTGGCAAATCCCAAGGAAGTACTTTCAAACTGCGTTTCAACAAGCTTTATCAAAATAACAACTGCTATACGTACAACCCTCAAGAAGACCGAATATGTGTGTCAACCTCGTTCCAACGCTCTGAAAGAAATGTTAGCGTGCTTCCACTAATTTCAGCCCCCCTTTCTCAACCGTCCGGCTCCGCCTAGCGGTCCGAGAGGGGCGGGGGACCAGTTAATGTGCCAGTTGTTTTTTCTAACATTCGAAGTCTGATTAAAAAACGCGATGACTTATGCTCAGTGATTGACTCATGTGATGCTGGTTTGGTTGCGCTCACTGAAACTTGGCTTTCCTCTCAAGTTAAGGATTCTGAAATATTTCATTGTAGTAAAAGTTTTGATGTTTACCGGAATGACCGCAAGGAACGTTCTGGAGGCGGAGTTTTGATAGCAGCTGTGCCTGAACTTAAATCTTTTTTGATATACATAAAATCTGATCTTGAGATAATATGGGTAGGTCTTTCCATTGGACACAAAAAGCTAGTATTAGGCTGTTGCTATCGTCCTCCAACAGGATCAAATACTTTTGTTGAGCAACTTCATGATGCAATTAACCTTGTCCGTGTTCGCTTTCCAAACTTACCCATTTTTCTTATGGGCGACTTTAATTATCCCGGCATCATCTGGTCTGATTTAAGTTCTTCATCCCAAAACCCCTCAACTGAATGTAACCAGTTCTTAAATCTATGTTCTGATTTTAATCTTTCGCAAGTTGTAAGATTTCCGACAAGGACAACAGACTCCTCGGCGAACGTGCTCGACCTGATACTGACTGATACACCTGATTTAATTTCTGATATTTTATACCTTCCTGGTCTCAGTGATCACTCGTTGCTTAATTTTTCTTTTATAACTCCCGTGTGCCGTAATACAAAACAGATCAAACAAATTCGAGATTACAGGAGGGCCAACTACGCAGCGATTAATGAAGGTCTGTGCTGTTTTTTGGAGGACTTTTTGCCAGAGTTTTGCGAGCGTTCAGTTCAAACCAATTGGGACTTATATAAAAACAAAGCCATTTCTTTATTTAATGAGCACATTCCATTACGCTCAATTATAACAAACACACAGTCTCCATGGTTCACTCCTCAACTCCGAAGGCTCTCAAATAAAAAGAAACGTTTGTTCAGAAACGCAAAGCGCATTGACTCGGAGGAATACTGGCAACGTTATAATCTCGCAGCGAATGAATACAAAAAAGCAGTCGGGGAGGCTAAATATTACTTCTTTAATGAGTGCCTACCATCTATGCTAATTAATAACCCTAAACAGTTTTGGAGTGTAATGAATCCCAGTGTTGAGCGTTCCCTTTCACTTAGAAATGAGTCCGGTGAAATGTTTCCCAATTCACTGTGTTCAACTGTTCTCAATGACATGTTTTCTAGTGTATTTAATAATGTTACTGATTCATTTTGTCCATCATATCCTTCATATGACTTTTTTCCCATGAATCCAATTGTCATTGATGAGTATGGCATTTTAAAGATTATAGAGTCAACTAAACAATCATCGTCATCTGGTGTTGACAATATGAACTCAAAGTTTCTAAAGAATACAAAAGAATATACATCAATCATTTTGTCTAAACTATTTGAGCAATCTCTTTCACTAGGTCAGCTTCCAGACGACTGGAAAACTGGAAGGGTGATTCCACTGCACAAGACTGGAGACAAACATTCCCCTTCTAACTTTAGACCCATTTCACTCACAAGTATTTGTTGTAAAACGATGGAACATATAATTTATACTAATCTGGTTAATTTTCTTGAATCTAATTCATTCTTCAACGTTAACCAACACGGTTTTAGGAAATTTTTTTCATGCGAGACACAACTTGTAAGACTAACAAATGATTTCCATCGCGTTCTAGATCGTGGTTCACGAATTGACAGTGTTTTTCTTGACTTCTCCAAGGCGTTTGACAGGGTCTCTCATAACCTTCTTCTTCTTAAGCTTCACAAACTTAACATTGAACCGCATGTACTTTCGTGGATTCGCGCATTTCTAACTAATCGTTCACAGTTTGTAAGTTGTAATAATACCGACTCGTCCAAAGTTTCAGTAACGTCCGGAGTACCTCAGGGATCTGTGCTTGGCCATCTTCTCTTTCTCATTTACATTAATGACTTACCATTGAATGTAACATCTTCTATTTGTTTATTTGCAGATGATTGTGTTGTATACCGCGAAATTGTTAACAGTTCCGACATCTTACTTCTTCAAAATGATCTCGATTCCATCTCAAGTTGGTGTGACTCTTGGCACATGTCATTAAATGTCGACAAGTGTAAACACATGATAATTTCCAGGCGAGTTAACGATACTCCTTCCTATATCCTTAATAATATGACTTTAGAACGGGTTGACACTTACAAATATCTGGGCGTTCACATCACATCTAACCTCTCATGGGAATCGCATGTTAACCACGTCATTTCCAATGCCAACCGCATGCTTGGCTATCTAAAACGTAATTTTTTCCAGACCCCTTCGACTTTGAAACTCTTTTTCTATAAAACACTAGTCCGGCCAAAACTTGAGTACGCTTCTGCTGTTTGGGATCCTAACACTGAGAGCCTCGTCGGCGCCTTGGAGGCTGTCCAGAATAGATCTGTGCGTTTTATTCTTTCTAATTACCATCGTACATCAAGCGTAACCTCTATGAAAAAATGCCTATCCTTGCCAGCTCTTTCTTTACGCCGAAAGTTTTATCGATTAAGTTTATTTCAGAAAATATTTTTTCACAACCCTATACTTAAGACTGAACTCCTACTGGAGCCATCCTACATATCATCACGCAATGATCACATACATAAAGTCGAAATTCCACAGTGCCACACTAATACCTACTACAGATCATTCATACCTCGTACGTCTGCTGATTGGAATCACCTTTCCACATCCATCGCCACAATTGTTAATCCTGTTGATTTTAAAAAAGCTGTATCAATACTACTAGAAGTTGATTGTGATTTGAGTGTTCCATTAACTTGTACGTAATAATCCCACCCCCCTCTGTAATGCCTTCGGGCCCTGAGGGTACCAATAAATGAAATGAAATGAAATGAAAAGGTGAGGACAGCGCGCTCCTCGCGCAGTGCAGATAAAGTTCGCTTTTCACTCTCGCTCTCTTTCTCTCTCTCACTATGGTTTCAAGCGTGCCGGCAAATGACTCGTCGAGCCGTGGGCACGTACAAGACGGCTCGTGCCGCCTCATGCTCCACACGCGCAGAGCTCCAGCGAGGTTGCCGCTCGTGCAGAAAGACCACGGTGTACCGGGGTGTCATGGCAACGAGATAATTTTTTTCGCTCTCACACAGTTTCGCCGTTTGGCCGCCGGCGACACTGTCATCCGCGGGCACGGTGGCCGCGGAAGGATGCAGCCTTTCGGGTGCCCGTCGAACGAACACTATCCGATTTCTCGCGCCCCGCGTTCAGCCCCGCCGTGTCCTCACCTAAAGAGTGTATCTTACACCGTGGTACCGTCAGATCGACGCCAGTACGCTGTACGTCGAACTGAAGTTTCGGGGTGTATTATATGGGACAAAGGGTGTTAAGAATACACGTTCTTTTTTTTAGAGTGATAAGTCACTAAACAATCAGTGAGGCAGTACCGGTAGTACTGGCTTGTATATCAAATTACGTCTGTATTACTCAAATGTATTAAGGTCTATAACATAAATGACGTCTCCGAAAAACCTCGG